TTTTAACTTTTCAACTTCGAACCCTTTCAATCCACTTTTTTTCGTTCATCGATTTGGCATTGGAACTTACCTCACTTGATGATAATGATACCTTTCTCATTCGGACCCCTTCGGCGAACATAGTGTCAACTTTGCGCCACAATTCTTTCCCATTTCATTTCGATATTCTCCTCAACCACTTTGATTCCCACAAATTTTTATAATTTACATTTGGAGTTAACAAAGATGTCGGAGAAGAGGGCCATATCTTTATTTATAGCAGACATTCGATTAGTGGGGTGAATCTACATATTTTAAATAGTGCAGAGAAACACATGTGACCAATTGCATTTAATTCGATAGACGGGTATTCGCATCTCACCCAATCGAATCAGTTATTTAAGCTTAAATGGTTCACAACAAGTTTTGTGGAAATAAAGCATGTTTGATGACCGTGGATATGTATTATGAACGGTATTTGATGAGACTCCCAGCAAGATGAGCTTGCGATGCGGAACAAATTCTATGAAAGTGGATAGCTGGTAAATGAAATTCGAATAAATATGAGAACGTGCTTGATTATCGTAGATGGATGTAAATTCTCTTCAACAAGTGATGAATATAGATAAGAGAACTTTCTCCCTGTTGACCGGTCACGTGATATGATGGCAACCTTCGTCTGCTTGTCAAATTTACCCGACATCCAAGATAAATAACGAATATATGACAGTCGAGGTACAGAGACGAATAATCGAATGTGCAACTCCCATCCCTTGGCTACGGTTCGGCTGTTGGGCTAGATTTGAGGCCAGGAACAAAGAAGCGCAATATCTCCATTAGGTTCTTCTTAACAACTACGCCCAGAACAACTTGATAACAAGCAACATCTCTGTCCACTGGCAATAATAAAATAACTGAGGCGCCACGGGTTATATTGCTATATCAAAACAGCAAAACAGCCACAATGGATATGCGAAAGAAGAAACGCAAGGTTTTGCTTATGGGCAAGAGCGGATCGGGGAAGTCGTCCATGCGCTCGATCATATTCAGCAACTATGTCGCGAAGGATGTCCGGCGTCTCGGAGCCACTATCGACGTGGAGCATAGCCATGTCAAATTCATGGGCAATCTGACTTTGAATCTCTGGGATTGCGGGGGGTGAGTTTGCAATCCATGAATTATGTCTAGTTTTCTTCTGAGAGGATCTATTGAGAGTTTAATTTTAACGGGAGGTTTATTCCAAGTTGCTAGGCAGGATGCATTCATGGAGACGTATCTTGCGTCGCAAAGAGAGAACATATTTTCCGACGTTGCTGTACTCATCTATGTCTTTGATATTGAATCCCGCGAAGTCGAACGTGACCTCGATACCTATTTTGCCATCATAACCGCCCTCCAAGAGTTCAGCCCAAATGCATTTGTCTTCTGCCTCATCCATAAACTCGATTTGATCCAGACAGAGCATCGGCAGCGAATATACGAGGAGCGCTCCTCTCTCATCCGTGCAAGATCAGAGTCCTTTGCAATAACTACATTTGGTAGCAGTATATGGGACCAATCCTTGTATAAGGCGTGGGCAGGAATTGTCCACAAGCTTATTCCAAACCTTTCAGTCATTGAGCGGTTCCTGCAGGCTTTCGCCCAAAGGATCGAGGCGGAGGAGGTCATTCTATTTGAACGCTCAACGTTCCTTACCGTCACGTCTGTAGCCTCGGAAATCGGCCGCTTGAACCCCATATTTGACCGTCACGAGCGTCTCTCCAATATTATGAAATCGTTTAAGCATTGTGCTGCTCGCAATACCCACACCACTCCAGCTTCCGCGGGATTTCTAGTTATGCATATCAAAACGCTACAATTCAATGTCTTCCTGGGCCGATTCACCGACAATACATATATATTTATCGTGGTTCCCCCTGGTGAAGCGGCTTATAACTGTGCTGTTCTCAACACGATGCTTGCCCGTGAAGGTTTCCGCAAGGCGTCAGCATCAAACGGCGGTGACTGGTTCCCACTTTCCTACGCTGACCCCACCCCTCGCGGAAATATTTCAAATGGTTATGTTACTGGGCCACCCGAGACGCTATAGGGTTATTTATCCATTTTACTTCTTTTGGTTTCGAAATTTCGGTGGTAGTGGTTGGCATCTGATCCAACGCAATCCCCATGTATAAAAAGATACCCTTTATTTATTTATTTATATATTTTTTGTTTTCATTCACATTTGCATATATATTATTACCTGATGAAGGGATTCTTAACAAGCAAAAATTGAGACCCGATTGTGTGGACCGATTAATGGGTTTGGTATGTACAACACACTTTTATGAAAATTCCCGTGTCCTTGTTCCCTTTTAAATGAATTTGGAGGGATAAGCATGTTTCTTATAAAACTCTCGCGCCTTTTTTGGGATCATTCTGCCCTGCGTATTTAGTTGGCCGGAGTTGCGAACTAGGCCAGATAACAGACAAATGTTAGATATTCCTTATTATAAACATGGCTCCCGAGCTTTATATTTATATTTATATATTTTTATTTTTTGCCTGTTGTTTCTCTGGTTACCTTTGCCAGTTATCTATATGATTCGAAGTAGATAACTCGATCGAACCAGAGCGCCCACATTCAACCACACCATAGGCTCCTTAGCAGAGTCGACAAAGCATGGCTGATTCAGCACTCCATAAATCAAATGTTATCCGTTGTCCATCAAACGAATACTTACCTTGATGGAGATGGCAGACTTTGCGCCCATCCCTAGGCAGTATCCTCCTGAGTCCAAGCCGCTTTTCTCAGAGGACCTGCCAACGATTGACGGCCATGTCACCGCAGACGGTGAGCGGTGGTATTCGTGGAAATGATGGGATGACTGCCATGGGATGATAATGTATGCATATCTCCCCCCTCCCAGGTTGGTTGGGGGGGGGGGGGGGGGGGTTCCTGTTCCATCCTCTTCCCTCTATCTTTTTTTTTCCCCGGTGTCCTTCCGTTGCCACTAAAATGTAGTGAATTTGGTTAGCCGGTTTCCATATACTCCATATTATCTATATATTTTATGTTCCGCGCATTCATCCTTCAATCCCCTGACCCTCCCTACCCTCCCTACATACCCAGTTACTTATCCGTATTAGTGCATCTAATTTCATGAGATTTTTTCTTACTTCATAACTTCATAATGATACGACAAACTAACCATTAAGAACAAAGTTAAATGTATCAAACTCTTAAAATATATATATAACTCAATGGAGAATCAATTACAGTGGGTGGGAGACTGCTGAGTAAAGACTCTGTTAATTTATGGTAAAACTCCCGGCTCCTTTCATTAAGACAGCAGAACGTGGGAGCTGCAGAATATCTGAACCAGAGAGATCCGTGCCAAGTAGGTGTTAGGTTGAGTTGTTTTAACGGCAAAGGAAAGATGTTTGAGAAAACTCATTGGAAGATATTGTCCTTCTCACGAAGGGTTAAACTGTCCTATCACGGAATCGGTTGTCGGACATTCGGTCGACCAAGTTGAGGAATCTCTAAGAACTTGATCCAGTCATTATTTCGCGCCCCCCAACCTCTGTATCTCTTGTTTTCTAGATTCTTTCTCTCGAAATTGTGTAGCGGTGCTAACACTGTTAGTATTTGTCCGATGTTGTGTGGGATAACTGCCCCTTGTTGAGCAACTGGATTACTTTATTTGTTGATATGTTCTAGTAGTGTCACAAGTATGCAATATGTCCAAGCCCGAATTACCATGAATGCTTGACTCTCATCCTGGTCGATCGGGATACAATATCATTGGTTTTGCTGCCCATTCAACATGACGATTCTGCAATATCCCGCCACTGGTAATAACAGCGGCAAAGAAATTCATACTTTTCAATTATACCAAAGCAAAAAAAAAAAATCTCGAATCGATTTTTGCAGGAACACACGCCACTGCAATTGGTTCATTGAAATAGGTGTAACATTTGCAAGGGCGAATACTCCATTGACTTCATATAACTTGTTAGGCTGAACGCAGAGAATGGGCTTTCTGCCGTCAGCAATATTGCTCCCTAGAGTCAAGGGAACTGAATGGAAATTTGCGAAATTCCAATTCCTTGAAGATATTCTCAACGAACAGCCAATGGTTCTAGACATTCTGAGATTTTGAGGAATCTGAATTGGTAGTATTACCCGGATTTGTATATCCTGGGGGATCTCACAACCGGTGAAAAGGGGGGTCTCTCAAAACCATGCAGAGGTCCTCCTGTCGCCAAACACCTCCAATGTTTTGCTTCAGCATAAGTGCCTCGGCACAAATTGTTGGGCATGACCGCCCGGTAGCCGCACCACCTCACGTGATGTACGCGTATATCAGTTAGCTGGCCAGTCCTCCCACCAATGGAAGACCAACCATCCCACACAAATTGGGTTTCTTTGCTGGCGATTCCTTGTATTGCGAAAGCTCGAGCTTGTGTGCAACACAGCAAGCAGCAGTCTCGACATCCCCAAAGCACCTAGTGGCTTCTCATGCAAGAATAGCATGAATTGATTCACTAAGCGGGCTCTTACTCCCGTTTTCTTCGTTGAAATATAGTTAAAGGACAGAGCTCCAGCATCGTGTCCATAGAACCACGTGTTAATTGGGCGATTCGGTTGGATTTTCCCCCTGATTAGTCTCAGTGGCCTGTTAGTTCCTCCATCAAATGCACATTCATTGATCCGACTGTTGAAAGCATTGGTCATAGGAGCTGCAATTAAGGAGACCTAATAAATTCAGGTGCTCTCCACAATTATGTCTGCGTCAACGTTATCTGCTGCCCTGGGAGCTTTTGAATTAGCTTATCAGTTTATACAAGTTAAAAGACATTTGTCTGGGGAGACGCCTCATCAAACACTAGTTAACTAATCCCTGAAGTCCTAGCTATGAGAACTGCCAACTTCCATGAAAAGCAAGTTGGAGTGGTCTCCCTGGCCGTAGTGGACCTTCTTGATACCCTTTATTTATCAGTGAAAACCTATGCAAATATCAGGCTCAAACCCTGCTCTATCTAATGATCAATTGTGCGGCCCACTCCTGGATGCGGAAGAAGACCAAGAGATTGCCGGGGGCATCATCCCATTTTCGAACCCAGCGTTCCCTTTCAAACGACCTTCTGCTAGGCCTTAAAGGATATTGGTAAGAGTCAGATATTTCGATATTCGACCAGATCGCTCGTTGTGAAACACCGATATGTCCTATCGGAGAAACCTTCCCAGGAAATAAGGATAAAAGCCCCCACACGCCGTTTGAGGTAATTTTTGCCCGCAGTTGTGGGGAAAGGTCCCGAACTCTCAGGCACCGGACTGGGGTTAGTAGTTTCAAGAGACGGGTTAGGAAAGCTACCCTACCCCAGGGTTGCATTGTTCCGGGTTTATCATAAAAACTCCTTCGAAAATCTGGGACTTAAAGCCCTAGAAGTTTCCAGAAACGGTCAATCTTTATTGAACCAGAGAGCCATTTTGACGTATCTTTGGTGGACCCTTGGACAAGACACGCTGTGGAAATTTCCACATACCCTGTCTTCCTCCATTCTCTTTAGAGGAATAACAGCATACAGGGGAGATATCAAACCCGAGATCAAGATTCTAGCTATTTAATGTTCCATTATTCCTGTGAGCTATATACTAACACAGGGAATTGTCACACTGGAGAACATAAACTTTTTGGATTATCTACACTGCGTACATTCACATGTGTTATGAATGTCAAAACAGAGGACTAAGATCAAGTAGAAAACTATCAAACCATTGAAGTGTCTGCAAACTTAAAGGACCCATCTTCTGTTGTTGAATTGTAACCTGTCAGGTATCAGTCTTTAGCAATGAAGCTATTCTGAAATCACTAGTTCTCATTACAAGGCCATCACTTACATAACTGTCAGTTATATTGAAATTGTCACTTAGTTATATAAAATCTTCTCCTTTTTTTCTCCTCCTTTTCCTTTTATCAGGAATAGGGTGATTCAGTTCCTTAATATATAAATATGATTCAATTTTTCATAAATTTAAATAAGAGACAGTAACATGGAAATGACATTTTTTTAATCACATAAAGAATCATGCATAACATATATAATTTTATATTATGAGCCTGAGGTTTGCTTAATAGCTCATCAATACTCTTACTTCTATTTTCTAAAGGTTTCATATTTAATTTACATAGCAATATCTTAATTATATTAGAAATTACATTATCTTATCCTATCTCTGAAATCAATACACTAAGTGTTCATCATAATCAATTCTATTACTATCAGAACAGTGATATTGACAGGAGTTGAGAATAAAACAATGACTTCAATATCATTATCTACTCAGTTATAATTACATGATCTGAAATTTTGTTCTCTGCTAGCGCCTTAGCTAACTATTTAACTAGTTATATGATAAATCTAGCTGATAAAGTTATCATGTATGCTAATCAACATTGATATATAGCTATTGAATACACAGCCCTGGCATTTAACTCTAATGAAACAGAGACTTTATCATCACTTCAGGTCTACTGTGACACAGCTCATGTGCTACCGAGCCTCTATCACTAGCAAGCTTCACCTGTAGCCGAAGGGTAAGGTTAAGCCGAACGGGAGTGCCGTAAGCTTGATAACTAGGACAGGGGGTAGTGCCACTATCACGAGTAGTAAGGACGTCAATTAGAGGATCCTTATAACCAACGATAGCTACGGCTAGGGGGTCAGGTGTGCGTAGGGCTTGAGTGAGACGGGCACCTGAGAGGGTGTACAGTTAGGTGGTCAAAGCTATGACAAGTATAGGAGCGGGGATGTATCAGATAAACGCAGACACAATGTGGGTAGGATGGAGTAGAGATCAGGTAGATGAATGGAGAATATAAAATTGATCGTGATCAAGAAGATAGGCCTCTTGATCCTAGGGGTAATGAGCGTGTTTATATACATGATGGAAACCTCTTGATAGATCTGACAGCCCATGGTATATAGTCATACCAGCCTACCAATCTACCACCCGGTAGACTTGGTAACGTCCGATAGATAGTCATACCAATCTATCAATCTATCAATCACGTGACCATCTCTTTAGGTTAGTCCCGGAACCCACGGTTATTCCGTCCGAAACCCTAGTTCCTTTATCCTCTGCAATTCTTATCCAATGATCCCTGGGAGTCTCCTGTTGGTTCACAACATCATGGCAATGATTTTAGCACTTATCAGAGTATAAATGAATATGTCATTCTTCTCTTTGATAATGTTATTGACTGAAAGCTATTAAAGTAATAAATTATTAATATCTTTTTTATAGAATCTGAGCTTTTAACTCTATCTTAAATATCAAAAGAGATTATTTATTGAAAGTGAGATTTTTCCTAGATGAGTTTTGATCTTGACTGCAACTCTATAGTTTACAATGATAATACTCAGATTATTTATCTTCTAACTGATAAAAATTCATAGCTCTTTTTCAAGCTCCACTATGTTGATAATCATCATTATCGAATACATCAATTGATTCAAAAACAGAAACGTAATATCAACTGAACATTTAAATTCATCATTCTCATCTCTCTATAAAGACTGCTATTAATGAGAAAGTATATTAGATATCAATTTTTAGCAATGAAGTTATTCTGAAAGTACTAGTTCTCATCATATCAGCACTTCAATTGTTATCTCTTATACAAGGCTATTACTTATATGAAACCGTTATATGAAATCTTTTTCTTTTCCCCCCTCTTTTTCTTTTATCAAGGAATAGAGTGATTTAGTTTCTCAGTATATAAATGTGATTCAATTTCTCATAAAGCTTAGTGATGGACAGCAGCATGCAAATGATATTTCTTTTACCACACAAGAATCATGCATAACATCATATATTCTTTCATAAAACCTATTTATTTTGCCTCCGCTGTGAGGTTTTCGATGTCAGTTCCGGATGCGGTCATTGTGTCCCCCTCCCCAACTTGGAGGGAAGCTTAACATGGATTGTGGCCTGAATCAGCCGCATGAGAGAGATGTCTGCAGCTCTCTAATTAACCCAGTAATAGCTGGCGGGTGATTCCGAATTGAGGCTATGGCTTCGGTGAAGTTTATCAATGCGAAAATAATGATGAACAAAATTCATTGAAACCCCGCCCGGTTCCTCAAGGAATCAGTTCATGCATTCGGAGTTTGATCTATAAACAGTGCTTTGAGATTAAAAAGAATCTTGAATGATCAATTTGCATCTAGCTCTGCACGACCAAGACTGCCAAGACGGCCAATGACGCATTGACGATATGGCTTATCTAGCCACCTAATTATATAAACTTTAACGTTATTTAAAAAGTCCAAGCCCACTTAACTAAATGATGATCACCCCATAAGATAAGCACCGCCGATACACCCCTGCACATATTCCTCACACATATTCCTAATATGTCTCTATTCAGCCTCAACTGCCCTCAACAACTAGTGTAAGAGAAGTTTAGGATTAGAATTAGAGTTAGACTTTAATCCTTGTAATTATTTAATGAAATTAACTAACTAGTTAAGGGCAAAGATCTGAGAATGGTACTCCGTATGAACAGTGCTAAGATTGCTGCGGTCCGACCGACGATCAAGCAAGGCTTGTGTTGCAGCCGGTTCTTTTCTTTGACAGGCGAGACTCCAAAGTTGCTGGTGATTCCGCATTTCGCCGATGCTGGAAATTGAATTCTGTCAAAGAAGTTCCCATCCAAGCTGACAAAGTTGGGTGCTTTCGGGTGGCATCGAGTAGGCGAATACCATCGCAAGTTCAGTGCCAAGAGAACGAAAGCGAATGAATCCCAAGATCTCATTCGTGCCCTGCAAACCCAACTATTCAATCAAGTTTTTTTTCATGCGAATGCGCTTTCAGCTTGAAACTAATAAGCCCTACAAGAAAATGCCCTGAATTGGAAGAATAATATACATAGTATGAGGGATTTGCCCGAACTAATAAGCACATAGCTCATAACTTTTGACGTGCTGCATGAGAGCCCTCATCAGGGGGGCAATTGAAATAAATACACAGGAAAAACAAGCAGTTTATTTTTATTTTTATTTTTATTTTATTTTTCAGTTCATTGAAAGCAGGTTTTTAATTAATTAATTAATTATTTATTTATTTTAATAATTCGCTAGTTATCAAGCCGTTGGTTCTATCAAAGAATAGTGGTCTTGGCTGTAAAAGAAAAAAAAAAAAAAAAAAAAAAAAAAAAATTCAAGCATTTATGTGGCGCGCTGGGCGCTCGTGGCGGAACATTCTGTTGAACAACTTTCTCTGCTTCCTGATATACACAGGAATATGTAGACTTCTTTTTTATTTTATTTTATTTTATTTTATTTTATTTTATTTATTTACTTATTTTTTTAATCTCAAAGCCCCATCAAAGTTGACGTTCCTCTTGATTCCACATCATGTGTTGATTGATATAGAATTTAAAGTTTTCAGCAATCTCTCACCCAGCGGCTCAAGTGGGGACGTCTCTGACAACATTGCTGTACAGGCTGGCCCTTGATGACATATAATTAACTATTCTAGATGTGTTTCTTTTATGTTCTCCTCTCCGAATGGCCTTGGTGTGTATGAATTCGCTATTAAACTCTGATTAATATAGAATGCTTTATCGATATCTCAACTGGGTATCTTCGCACGGGCTTAAAGGTCTCTTCCGATCAGTATTGTGAAGTCTGGATAGTTGATCGCTTAGGGTTAACTAGTCCAGTGTGGTTTTCCAACAGCACTTCCAGTAGTGGGTGTTGTGGGGGCTCATGGTGGGTTCTCCACAGTGATATGACATCAGGATAAGGATCTGCCGATCTTATTAACACCTAACTAACTAGACAGCCGTTTGAACCGGACGAAGACATCGGGAATAAGCCGGGCATAGATTCTTTCACTCAAGCACGCACTAAATTCGTTCACGTGCCAGTTGACTAACGCTTGTTAAACAGACCCGAAAACAGCCTCTGGGCACGTTATCTCTAACCTGATTATTTAGTAATATTATCAAGTGACAGCGGGATCTGCTCTGCTGACCGGTGACTAATTTTGGAACCAAAAGCCTTATCGTCTAAGCCCGCGAAATGAGCATGTGCTTGAAAATGTATTGTGTAGTTCTGGGGATTCTTATGCACGTGATTGCGGGGCCTAACCAAATAACTCTTATGTCCACGCAGTAGTGACCTAGAGTAGGATTCACCTCACCTTCTATGTATTTACTACTTTATTGTGTTGTAGTTATATAAATTTACTATAAATATTCTTTGTCCTCGACGTAATAAGTGTGGCACTACCACCGTGGGTCCCACGAGGTGATAGACAACCTAGTTACAGTAAGGAACGTTTGGAAATGCCATTTTCGTCCCCGTAGTTACCGTTCTTCGGGAAACTGGACTTCAACCCTTAACCATGGAACTACGATAGCTTTCTTTCGTGCTAATGAAGTTTCCCTAATATGGTTTATAATAGGAATTACTCCATTCACAATGAAAAGTACTGTTTTCATCTGCCTTTTTATCATCCATGGGATGGAGAAAGCAAAACTTGTCAAAAGCAAGGATAAATTGACGAATGACAGCCCCTGTTCCAGGGAGCTTCTTTTTCCTTGCCTTTTTGAGGTGGATGGGTCGCAAAATACCCAAACGCCCCTAGAGAGTGCGGACAGAAGGTTTGGCGAAACGGTACTGCGCCGAAGGAATGGATACCTGAGTTTACCCATGTTATGCAGTTCTAGTCCTAAGGTTTTACGAATATATCCCAAAGTAGTACACGAGAACGGTGAAAACCACCCACCGCTCATGGTGTTGGTTGAGGAGGGCACAATATGATTACTTCATAGTGGTCCGAGAAACCTTACCGGCGAATATACAGACGCCTCTTCTAACAGCCAAACCTTCTGAGGAACACTGCGAAATAATTGGACAGGAGCTTAATCTTATTGTAACTGGGAGCCATGACTTGGACCTTAGAGTAAGGTGTGCCTTTCAGCCCGGTTCCCCGAGATATATAATCAGACATCCCCCAGATATTTGGTCCCTACCGTCTATATGTTTTTGTAGAACACCAGTGATCCTGCGCATTTCGCTGATCTGTGTTGTTTCTTCCTTCCTGGTGGCCCGGCTATTTGCTTCTTTCTCTTCTCTTCTCTTCTTTTTTTTTTTTTTTTTTTTTGTGTTCTGCCCCCTCCCCCTTTCGGATTCATCATCTGATCGGCATTTAAGGAGCTCGATCCCGTTGGCTTTGTATTCGTACTGGTTGGTGCAAGAACCAAACTCACGGTGTATTCTTTGTAGAATCGCCGTGCCCTGACCAGGATGGCTGTCTGGAATCGCAGCAAAGGGGATGCTTCTTCCACGGAGAGTCAGACAAAAAATGAGTTCCCTGAACAATATAGAGTCGAATCGGAGGCGCAGGGCGTCATCGACAATGCCGAGGAGGACGGATATGAGCTTCATCGTGGCCTGAAAGCCCGCCATATCACCATGATTGGTAATTAAATTCTTTCTTGTCATAGGCTTCTTCGCGATTGCATTGCTAACTAGTTCACCATGCAGCTATTGGTGGTGCCATTGGGACTGGACTTATTATTGGTACGGGCTCTGCTCTTGCAAGGTTAGTACTCTGTAGCTGTCCACCTTTTCTAATAGTGCAGTTATTTTCTCTTAAGTGTATGTTTATCTTCTTTTGACTAACTTTTTTCTGGGGGACCATTTAGAGCTGGTGTAAGTGATTCCAGTGATTCGAAATCCGGCGAATGATTTCAGATTGCCGAATATGCTAACAATTTTCTAGCCTGCGGCTATTTTGATCTCGTATACGTTTGTCGGTTTCATCGTCTATCTCGTTATGTGTGCTCTCGGCGAAATGGCTGCATGGCTTCCTCTGCCCTCCGGTTTTACCGGTTATGCCGTTCGCTTCTGTGATCCAGCTCTGGGTTTTGCTGTTGGTTACTCGTCAGTTCAGCCTCAGTTCAGCCTCTGTTCAAACCCTACATCAATCGAAGTGGAGTTCCGTTAGCTGACAAATAGTGGATACCCAGGTACTACTGTAAATACATTATAGTTACGCCGAACCAGTTAACCGCAGCTGCGCTAGTGATCTCCTACTGGGTCGACCGGAATAAGGTAAATCCAGGCGTCTGGATAACCGTATTCTTGGTTACAATAATTTGTATCAATTACTTCGGCATTCGCTTTTTCGGTGAATTCGAATTCTGGCTATCGACCTTCAAGGTCCTTGTGATCGTCAGCGTAATCCTTCTATCTCTGATCCTTGCCTTGGGTGGTGGACCGGACCACGACAGAAAGGGGTTCCGCTACTGGAAAAATCCAGGTGCTTTCAACACATATATTAACGAGGGCAGTTCTGGCCGCTTCCTCGCATTCTGGTCTACAATGGTCATGGCGTCGTTTGCGTATCTCGGAACTGAGCTGGTTGGTGTGACTGTTGGAGAGGCCCAGAACCCTCGCAAGACCATCCCTCGCGCTATCAAACTGACCTTCTACCGCATCCTGTTCTTCTATATTTTCAGTGTCTTTCTCCTTGGAATGTTGGTTCCGTATAACTCCCAGGACCTTATCTTCTCAACGACCAAATCTAATTCTGCCGCTGCCTCCCCCTACGTAGTGGCCATTCAGCTCTCCGGCATTAAGGTGCTCCCGGGAATTCTCAACGGATGTATTCTGCTCTTCGTGTTCTCTGCTTCCAACTCGGACATGTACATTGCGACAAGAACGATATACGGCCTGGCTCGTGAAGGCAAAGCACCCAAAATCCTTGCCAGGACTGACAAAAGGGGTGTTCCCATCTATGCTCTGGGGCTCTCGTCACTATTTGCACTACTAGCTTTCATGAACGTCTCAAATGACAGCAAAATCGTGTTCGGCTATTTCGTGAACTTAGTGACCGTATTCGGGCTGCTGACCTGGATATCAATCCTTGTTACGCACATTTACTTCGTCCGAGCCCGCAATGCGCAAGGGGTTTCGGAAACCTCTATGGCATTCACTGCGCCCTTTGGCGTCAGCGGTTCATATTTCGCTCTCGCCTTCTGCATCCTCATCTCGCTTACCAAGAGCTACAACGTGTTTGCTCACGACCCTAAAAAGTATGGAACGTTTGATTACAAGAACTTCATCACCGCCTACTTGGGTATCCCAATATATCTTATTCTCATCTTTGGATACAAATTTGTTACCAAATCCAAAAGTGTGAAACCCCACGAGGCGGATTTGTGGACCGGGAAGGATAAGATCGATCGTGAGGAGGCCGAGTTTTTGGCCAGGAAAGCAGCTGAGAACAAAAATCACAAAAAAGCCGGGTTTTTCTATCGCCATTTTCTTTCTTGGTTGTTCTAATGATGTTGGCCTGGGAGAGACACATTATATTCCATTTATCATTTGCCTATCGTCCTGCGTTTTATGGCTTGGGCTCTTGGCTCTAGCTTTGCAGTTACGGTATCCTTAGCATCCACGGTTCAATTTTCATGTCGTCATGTCCTGTTTAACCGCATTTACGATTCTCCTATCTTGATGAGTGTTTCGTCCAAAAATCCTTTCAACACATTTTTTTTTTTTTTCCCTCTCTCTCTTTGTTTCCTCGGGTGGAAACCCTCTTACGACATACACTGCTTTATTTCAGGATTTTCTGGCGCGCATCAGCTTGGCTATAATCATTTTCGCGTCAGCAAAAGGTGTCGGTCGAATCCTCGCGAAATGTTATTGGTAATTTTGAGTCAATGTGAGAATACAGGTTTCTTAACGCCACTTGTTAGGAGTTCATTAATTCTTGTTCCCAAGTTGGTTGATTTATGTGGTGTAATGGTGCTTTGGTTCCTTTCCCCTGTTTATATATCATTCTCCATGCGCAAAGCTGATAGGCTTGCTTCATCGTGCTGGGGAACAGATTTAACTATCCGTGCTTGCATGATGTAGTTTATTCTGAACGTAAGGTTGCGTTGATGAAGCTACTCCAATGGTTACCCACCCAGCATTTCCCACCATATTTTTTTTAATCGACCGCCTCTTTATGTTTTATGTCAGTTCTACGCGACAACAGCACCAACTTTGCAATCGCTCCTCAAGTTTGACCCGGTGCTCTCGAAGCCGATCCTATGCTCGGAAAGAGCCTATGAGACGAAGGAATATATTTAAATGCCACATATTTAGTATCGTTAAGGCCACCAAGGCAGAATTTACAAAGGATGCTTTTTTGCTTTATGCACACCGATAGGTCCTGCTCACTTTGCGTTAGCCTCCAAGAATCGAAACTCCTGACATCTCCTGTATGAAAGCATCCCTGCTCCCGGAATAAAACCGAAGAGAAAAGTGGATATCCTAATTAATCACTAGGATCAATCATATTTTCCACTTGTCACTCCTCCTTGAGGTCGCGATGCTCGTTACATAATCATCGGCCCGAGGAGACTTCCCAAACCTCCACAGCCGACATCAAAAAGTGCCTTCGACCTTACAGACACTTGGGAGCGATTTCGTTTGTTGTGTCCGCGACATGGAGAAATCCACGTGGAGTTCCTCATCGAATTACCATTCCCTTGGTTTAAGAATTAGGGGCACTTTGCTGTTTTTAGATCCGAGGGACTCAGTTAGCTCCACAGAATATTCCGAGAGGCTGGGGGCTACGGGCGCTAACAGCTTCATGCGACTGGACACACAAGAATATTATATGGTTAGCACCATATTTGTTTTTGACGCTTCGCCCCTCTTCTCTCACCTTTTTATAACATAGCCTTGTCTGGCATCTCCAATGCTTAATTCAATTGATTTTGTTCTTCAGCATATTCTGTAAGGATACAGGTTTTGTGCAATTACGAAGACAAATTGGTTCAATTTGCGTTTTGTGTTCTGGATTTTTTCCACCCTTTCCCCCCCCCCCCCTTTTTTTTTTTTTTTTTTTTTAAAAAAAAAAAAACGTGTTGATCCCAACCTTGCATTGCTCAACTCCCAAACGGTGGGAGTTCCACCACGTTGTACAGTATAACCAAGGTTTTTGTCATACGCGAGCTCATGACACCGTCGCAGCCGGATTCTTCAATGGCAACCCCACGAACCCCCAAAAGCAGCCATGACTTCAATCTGCTTATCAACAATCTCAATGTGACGTTTAACCTAGACCTTCCGAATCCTGCAGTATCAACCCCGAAACGCCGGCCTGGGGAGGAACGAACATTTCCCGAAAGATGTGTTGGTCTCATGAAGTTTCTATATTACAACAATCCCGACAATGTTCAGCGAGTTATCGATTCCTTCCAGGAATGGGCGAGGGCGTTTTTGTCGGACTGGATGCCCAAGACACGCCAAGAACCGGGCACTCTGCCATCATCGCGTCCATTTATCCGCAGCAACACCCTGTCTATGGCGAGGAATATCACTCCGGAACAGCGGGTTAAAGTCCTGGATTACTTGTGGACTCTCTTGCGTGATGAGGAATACATTGTGACCATGGGGGCGTCTAGAATATCTAAAGACGTGAATACCACACCTTCCACTGAACAGTCATTGACAGAATTGGAATCCGGCTCTCCAGCTTCATTTGCTGGAGGATCAATATCGGGATCCGCAATTGTATCCCCCAACTTCCTTCGAAAGCAAACATCAAGTAAAATGGCTTCTCCCTCTAAAAGAAAGAGCGGCGTCAATGATTCCGAGGTACTTGTGACTGCTCCTAATTCCCCTTCCCATTCGTTCCATATTACCACGTTGTCATCGGATGATGAATTTGAGTATTCCGATCTGGACAACTTCGATATTGCTCCCATTGTTGATTCAGTGGATTCGGCTGATTCATCGGATAATAATCACCAGAAACAAGGGAAAACATCACAGAAAGCTCAAAAACAACGGAGAATAGAAGAGTTCATGACAATTTCCAAAAAAGTCCAGAGTACTTTTTCACCCCCAACCTTCGGGAAAACGCCTCTAGGTAATCAGAACTCGGAACATAATGCGAACACGAGTTTTTCAACAATAGCAAGCAAGCCAACCTCCTCAACTACATCTTTCGGAGCTAGTACTGTGGCTACATCCTTTTCCCGTGGCTTTGGAAAAAATCAGTTGATTGAGATTTCACAAGGCCCTTCGACAATCCAGGCCTTACAAAGTGAAGAAGCCACAGCCCTGTTCGAGAACGCAAGTTTTGGACACAATCCTGGGCTGGATTGTCGAGAAGACAAAATCCGTAATATTATTCGAGATCTTGAAGAGAATGGGCCTTTCTCAAAACAACATATTATCAACAGTACTGTTCCGCTTCGATACCGATACGAGGCCCAAAGGGCTGCCCATTCTCGTCGTATTCCAGTTGAAACCCTTCTCGAAAAAGTAGATCGGGATCGGCGCAAGTTACCTGAATATGAGGATTTCTGGAATCACCTCCATGACGGTCTGCCAACATCCTTGGAGAAAACGAAGTCAGGGCCTTGGGAAATGGCAGTAGAAATGTATGAGGATAAGCTTTCAACCGGTGACGTTGTTACTCTCAGTGGTAAATTGTCGTGGTGCAAACGGAAGGGCTATTTTGACCTTTCTCTGAACCCTCTAAAATTTGAAAGAAGTTACCGTTTTTGCAGACGATTTGGATCTGATCGATTCCTTGAAATAACATTCCCAGTCTTGACAAGCCCACCATCTCGCCTTGCCAGGGATACGGAAGAAAGGGAAATTTTACTGGAAGCGATCTCGAGATGGTTAGCAAACAGTGAACATCATCTCCTTGGGAGGGTGTGGAGATCGTTTTACCTTGAAGATGTTAAAGAGAAATCAAAAAGAACCCCAAGGAAAAACGGCATAGAAATGTCGCCCGAACTGGAAACAGGTTCTAAGCGAAGTAGGGTGTTTTTGTTTGCAATCAGTGGAACTGACTTCGGCGAATCCACGATGGGAATTCCGCTCCAGAACCAAACCTCTGGAAACCGGACAAAGATGAGTATAGATGCATTAATTAACTGGCATATGCCTATAGCCGATAATATCCATCAATCTGACTGCAAGCTATTCCAGCGACTCGCACTTGGGCTGTCACGTACACTGAGCACGGTGGTTCTACGACGGGAGGAGGTCATATTTTGTCCGGATCCACCTGGATCCGTAATGAATGATGGCTGTGCGCTTATGTCGAGATCACTTGGGTTGGAAATCAAGCGTATTTTGGATCTGGAAGCCCTGCCCGCCTGCTATCAGGGCAGAATTTCTGGCGCAAAAGGGATATGGATGGTCGATTGCGATGATTCAAGGTTTAAGGGTGGGGATCGAGGTTTCGGACTGGAAATTACTGAGTCACAGCTTAAAATAAGTTATCCACCTGGACCTCCTCACAATCCAAGGCTAGTTGACGATACGCAGTTGACATTTGAGGTGGTTCAGTGGTCGCAGCCACTCAATCCTTCCTCCCTCAATCTGCAAGTTCTCAAGGTCCTTCAACATGGCGGTGTTGGCCACAGTCATATTAAAAAACTCATACAGCAAGAAATTTCTATTTTTTATAAGGAATTCTTGAAAGTTATACATCTTTCCAATGGTGTTGCATGTCGCAAATGGCTTCAAAAGATGAAGCGTTTCGGTGATGACGGATACAGCTATAAACGGCAAACCCGTCGTATTGATAACTTCTTCCCATCTCAATACGTGGAGCAGGCAGTCCTTCTTCTGGATAGCGGTTTCTTACCACTAAAACTTCCATACTTAACACAACTCTTCAGATGGATCCTGAAGGATTACCTTGACAGCCTCAGAAAGTTAAAAGTCAGTGTCTCTCAATCGACGTATGCATATTGCATTGCAGATCCTCTTGGAGTATTAAGCCCGGACGAGGTACATTTTGGGTTCTCCCACGAATGGGAAGATGGATCAGTTGTGGTTGGTACGGAACTGCACAACATTAATGTTCTAGTCGCTCGCCTTCCTGCTCATCTTCCAACCGATATTCAAAAGAGAAGGGCGGTTTACAAAAATGAGCTACGTCACTTTAAAGATGTGATTATTTTTCCAACCACCGGTGATGTCCCATTAGCTTCTCTGCTTTCTGGCGGTGATTATGACGGAGACCAATGCTGGGTTTGTTGGGATCCAATCATTGTGGGAGAATTTTCAAATACCCAGTTCGACCCAAAGACCATACCATCCAGTGAGCAGCTTGGCCTGGTGTGTTATTCCTTGCCTATGAATCAGATGCGTTCTATAGATCAGTTCCTTGCCAAAGTTTTTCTGTTCAATGCGAAGCCGTCGCAACTTGGACCTTGTACCATCGAGCACGAAACTCTCTGCTACCATAACAACGACCTTGGTTGTAAAGGTGCAGTTACGTTGGCCTGGTTACTCAGCTATCTAGTTGATAGCAAGAAGGCCGGGTTGGAACTACCAGGCAAGGCTTGGAGGCGTTTACGAGCAGAGTACATGCCGGTGAAATTGGAGCAGCCAGCCTACAAAACCTTCGAGCATGAGAAGCGAAATAGTTCCAACATCGTTGACTATCTGCTTTTTGATGTGATAAAAGCCGAGAGCGATAGAATACTCGAAGATTTTGATAGGTTTTGTGAAGAACATTCCGGCCTCCCCATTGACCCTCACTTAGTTGAAGCTTGGAACAAAGCAGAACAGCGGGCGGCAAATGAAAAGCAGGGCGGTAAGCTTGAGCTATATGATGCTCTGCAAGGTATCAAAAGAAAACTTAGAAATGTCAAGGAAGAGTGGGACGCGTGGAAGAAGTTAACAAATAATACCTCGTATGCCATGAAGATTGCTGAGGCGGCACAAAGACTACAGCAGGTTCAGCCGCCATCTTTCGAGCATGACCTGAGTTATACGTGGCGAAACAGCCAATATGAGTGGGAAAGATTTCGCGCATCATGCGCATACAAAGATTCCAGAGCAGATTTTGTTTGGTATGCGGCGGGCCCCATTCTCTGCGAAATGAAAGCAAGGGCGTTGGGAGGATACCGGATGGTTGAAAGTCAGATTTATAGCACCCTAAAAGTAAATCGAAATTCTGCCAAGAGGGCTGTGGGGCGCATTATGAGACGCAAGAGTGGTGAGGAAAGTGACTGAGGATGACGATGATGATTTTGATGCAGATGAATCTCTCTTTGTGGATTTGGATGAAAATATCAATGATTCCCGGCTTGATGAGGAGTGAATGCCGACTTCATTAGATTTTGAGAAGGACATGTGATTGTGTTTCACACAGTGGTCAAAATTATTGATTTGAAAATTTTTAGAGCTCTTAAGATACCATTGAAGTTGATAATTTTTTTTCTTTGCTCTTTTTTTGCTTTCTGTTGCCTGGTTAGTTATTCAATGTCGTGGAAAACTCCGGCTGAATTTTGGATTTTCCGTGTGTTTTAATAGCCAACCGTGAAAATGTGGCCTACTGATGCTTTTTGTCCAACCGAAGTTTTGAAGCTGAGAGATAAGAGAGATAACCGCTCTTTTCCTTTGTGTGGGAAAATTGGTACTTTGTTTCCATTGCTCCTGTTTCCCCAATTATTTTTTTGTTATGATTGGTTGGTGCCATTTTTCGAGTGATCCGTTGTTGAAAGTTTTATTGGGGGTGTCGAACAGTGAAAAACCTGGAACAATTTTCCATTGTTTGCTGCTGGGGTCGTCAGCCTCATTCACTGTCACTGAATTTCCGGTAAATCTTACTACTTTTGTTTCTTAGAAATGGCTCATACATTGATATATAGAATATCACCCCATCCCGCATGCTCATTGTCAAAGCTGACGATACATCTGTTTGCCGTAGGGCCTGTAGTTTTCCTCCGAAGCCCTGTGTGAATAGGGGTTAAGGTTTGAAGGTTGTTACGGAGAATAGATCACCCGACGCCGTAATTAAACAATGAAAAAGAGCAAGTTACACATGACTTGGCTTACGCACCACGGCAACTGTAGGGCTTATATAAAAATTGTAATAACTAACTAGCTAGTTATGTTAACTTACCATTTGGACTGATCAAGGAAAATGGAAGAGGCTGATAGAAACTTGGTAGAGTTGATCCAACACACCCTACGGATTGGCTTTTTATCAATTTTCCATAGTACCTCGCCACTGCCGGGTCGACATCATGGTAGAAAGCCTCTACCGGATTTCTGGCAATGCTGGGAGCTCAGGAGGGTATACCTCACTGGAGATTATCACATATTTCGGTTGATTGGCCTCCTCTTCCGGACTAATGCATTCTAAGGTTGTTTGCCCTTTTGCTGGCAAATACCTGGAAATAACTCCACCAGCGAGGCCCTGAGCCTCTTGTTTTTTTCTTGCTGAGCACTTGAAGTGCTTCTGATGCGGGTATGCCACCGTAAGAGCTCACTGAGCTACGACCAGCTCTCCGCGACCTAGTTCAACAAGAGCGCTAACAACAATCCTAACTGCTTCGGTATCGACTGAAATATCTAGAACTGCAGGAAATGCTCCTGTTAACGAGCGGCACGGAGGAATGGCAGAAGGAGGTCATATGGAGCTGGCGTATGATAGCTGCCAGGAACCAGCACAATGGTGGGTTGGAGTTCGCCATTATGCCAAAAGCAAAGAGTGAATATGGAGTGCCATCCAAGAAGTGGGGTTTATTCAGCTGAAGGCATGCTCTTTTTGTAGATACCCTAGGAAGGTATCTACATCCTGCGGTCATGTTACTCTTAAAACTACTATGCATGGTATATCTCCCCATTCTCCTCAACCGCTCTCACTAGTAAATGCCTGTTCATACCCTCCATAGATTTTGTCAAGGTATTATTGGTGATCTTTTCGTTCAAAGAGGAACCAAGAGATATAGAACGGCCCTCAATGGTCAGACCCCAATTCATTCAGAAACAATAATGGGTGAGACAGGGTGCAGAACCAGGACAATGACAAAGGTTGTATTCACTCGATCAGACTGGGAAAATAGTTGGATACTGCATGAAACTTTAGTAAAAGATAAATGGCAACGTGCTTCTCAGACTTGTCGAGACTTCTCCAGGTGTTCATGCATTGAAGATCGGAGATATGATTTCTCTCCGTCTCATGAGAGTATATCATCACTGATATTTTACGCTGCTGCTTCATCCAATTGCAGGCGCTGAAGTCCTCCAGATTTTCCCCAACCCCAAGGTCAATGCTCGAAAATATGACCTGATTCAAACTCAACCCATCACCCGAACAGACTTGTTGCTACCCCATAAGATCACCGAGGTGGCTCTCTTAAAAGTGACATGGTTGATACCACCGCACTTTAAAAGGTACGTCTTGAATCCATAATTTAAGGTACATACATCCTCCGTTGATAGGCAAGCCAAATATTGAACAAGAAATGCACGTATTCTCCCTGAACTTCAGCGAACAAACCATAGTTTCTTGGAGGATTAAAGCGGCCAGCCCCTAGCGCTCCTCCAGAGGTCGGGGCTGAATGCGAGTGAGACAGGTCTTTCTGCGCAATCCTTAACGTTCGGTGACTGAAAGGTAAGGCGATATGCATCACTAACTACAGCTGACAGATGCGTAAGATATGGGATCCAGCCGGGGTTTAATTTATTTTCACCCAACAAAAGAAATAAACGGCCGCCGTCGGAGGGTTCTTTCCTCAGGGAAATGTCTCCAGTAAGATGACAGAAACCCATCCGCAAAAAGCAGTATCCGAAGCCGGTGGTATATACCAGAAACGCTGGTACGTGCATGTGTACTTGCATAGTTCTTCGCAATGAGAAAGGTACCATGTCATACATCTAAGCCTAGTGGTCTTTTAATAATTTCGGTTGGGGATATTCGAATCTAAAAATAAATAGATTGACTGAGAAGCAGTTTTTACAGGAAGTTCCCTATTGACACTGAAGTAAACCCACCTATCAGCTATGCGCGTCGACCGGGCTTGCAGACGGGTTGATTGCAGTCGGGATTGCCAGCGCAGAGAATGGATTGGGAGTCGTAGAGGGGTCCAAGAGTACCTTGGTTTCCAGCCCGTTTCTTCACCTTGCCAAAATCACCAGGGGAGGTGTTGATGTTGGCATCATATTTCTCATAGGCGTTACGCATCGAGTTGTGACGTTCATGCAACAGTTTATGGGAATCGACCAGTATGATTCTCATTCGCTTAAAACATTTCTACGAGATCTGATCAAAAGTCAAAGCTGTCTTGTGACGAGAAAGCCATGGTGGCAGGCCGCGGGATTGCGAAGATGGAAGATGGCAATTGAGATGCTTTTGTCATTGTCTTTGAGATGATCGGATAGGCACTGCGTTTCAAAGACGAAGCTCCTATGCGTTCGGGTGAAGGAGAAAGCTGGGGGCCATCGGTAGATAGTGCCTTGAGACCAAAAAAATACAGGAGCCTCACAGATTGCTTCTTCTGCTCATGGTTTTGTTGACGCTTGTGAATATGGCAGATGAGGACTAAATTATCAAAATCATATTTTTAAGAGCCACCAAAGGATGGGGAAATTGACTGGAACAGCCTATCACCCGTCAAGGGATCAAATTATTTCTGGCGAGGCATCCTGAGACAGCGAGCATTACATGTTCATAGTCACGGATGATCTCGGGGAAATTCCAGTGGAGATAAAGTTCTCCATACTGAATCCCGAATGATTTGTTTGTTTTGGGGGTAGTCTCAGGATATGCTTCTCCCCCGATTCAATTACGTTTTGCGTTTGGATAAAATAGACGTAGGCATTTGTCTATAAGGAAAATATTGCAATCTTTTTGGCATTCAAATCATAGAATGTATTTGAACTCTTAGTTTTGCCCAGTTTTCAGAATATATGAATGTACTCCGTACCGGAACTGGGATTGTTAAATAAAACACAGATCAAATGGACATACATTCATACATTCATTTCATTGAAGTATATGGGCAATTTAATTGTCAAGTTGAAGTCAGGAAACGACCCCAGCACAGCCACATTGAGCGGAGACACATCTATATCATAAATAAATTTGTTGTTGTTAAGAGAGTGGGTTCAATCCTAGACCCGGATTGCTGCGGAAACCTTGTGCGGTCTTCAGATGGTCATCAGAGGCATTATGAAATGATTGAATATTTTTTATCCTTGATGCGTTTCTCCTCATTTCTCTGGGTCACTGGAAAGCGTCAAAGCAGAAAAAAGAGTAATACCCGTTGAATCTGCAGTTACCAGCGTGGAAAAATAACGATGGCATGAAGTGGAGTGAATGGCTGATACTGATCTTCTCGCAGCGTCAATATTCCCCCACTGCGGTGCCATGGTATTGGTTGCGAACAATCATGGTTTTTTTCGAACTCTGGTTCTCTACAAATCTTTCTTACTAATTTCCCCCAGCTTTTAAAAATAATAGCCACGGACCATTTGTGCTTTAACCCCGTACTAAGCGAGTTAATTAAATGTGTGGGGGCTGAGATTTTCCGATTTCAGGAAGAAATGAAGCAAAATAAAACAAAAGCTAGTTTGTGGCTTTTTTTGGTGGAATATTTTTGGGAGAATAGCGAGCACGCCGGCCACGGCCAACCGTTTTGACAAGGTTCTGCATTTGTCTGTTCCTCCGCCCGTCTCCAGTGAATCTGTGAATCTGCAAAATCTGTTAACGGTGGGCGATTATTAAGAAAAAAAGAGTTAGTTATCAGGAAGCTTCCAGATTGAGTTTGCAGCTGTTCGCTCTGCGCATGCGGGAACGGCCATGGGGCGTTTAGTATTCGCAAAACCAGCGGATAGATATGATATCGCCATCGTGTGGTAGCTATCTCCCTACCACGAAATGGATCGGAACCAGAATAAACCAACTCCATACCTCGGGAGGTATGATCATGTAGGGTTGATGGTCGATATGAACTCTAGGCCTGGAGAATGCGAACGGCTGGCACTTTGATCATCAGATTGCGCTCCCGAACATTAACTACCGGATTAGGACTTCCAATAAGGAAGGGTTGCAGATACAGGGCAAGGGTGTAATAGTAGAGGAAGGCAATATAGTAGAGCAGGATTTGGAAGGATTCCTCCACGTCCTTTTGACTCCTTTTGAAGTGTGTGTTTCTTAGATGAAAGTCTTAAGCCGTTTAGAGGAAGAAGGACTATATCAATCTCGTTATCAGAGTTCAACAAAAGCAAGTTGTTAGACACTCTTCCCCTCATCAACCGCATTGCGCAATTGACGAGCAGAATGCATGGATGATATGGCATCATGAACCTGGTTCGAAACGTCAGCGCTAACAGCGAGACGGTAACCATGCATATCTGTGCCCCGCTTGTTCAGTCTTTAAGGGAATGTGTAAGTTGACGATGATGATATCAATTCATCTGTGCAGTTCCCTGGTCTAACCCAGACACGATGCTTAATGACCTGCAGCGGGCAGAAGGCTATATATATATATATATATATATATATATATGTTCTCTGAAGGATGTAGCACATATTAATAGATACTACATCCCTGCTCCGCCGCACCCTGGAGACTCCCGAGGTCGCATAATTGTGTTGCTGTATTGGACCATGGATCCTCGGTAAAGTTTCCGAATGTGCACTAGCGGATCGGCGATGGCTTGGCATCTGCGCTAGGCCGCTGTAAGTTAAACGAGGGTTGATTAGTCATCTCCTCAATGGGTCCGTGAGAGCGCATGTGCCAACAAGGTTTGCTAGCGGCATCATTCTCTGCTCTGACTGGCTACCGCTATCGTTCACATGCAAACCCTAACCTTAATTCCCGGCGCTGATTCGCAGCCGCGCCGGTCACATGTCGTCGGCGCTGGTCTCAACTCCTCCAGGGCTCGTATTGTGTGTGCACTTTTGCTGTCTGCCATTGTCCCATGCTATCCACTCCATTCCCCCTATTGCTTCCACGGCGGCAACTTGATCCCTCCACTTGTTAGTTCACGTTAGTTGGTGTTTCTGCGTCTGCTTTCTGTCCGCTTCTTTGCCCTGCCGAGACTTGTCCCCGTTGCTCTAAATGTTTGAACGGTGGCAGAGCTCCCCTCCATCAGCCGAGTATATCACTGCTCCACTGCTCCATTGCTCCACTGCTCCACTGCTCCGTGAAGCTAGCAAAAGCACACCCCCTTTGGCCCATTGATACCATCATACCACCATGCTCAGTTAAGGTAGAATCAAATGCTCCTCTGCATTCTTATTTCAATGTGAGAAGCTTAATGCGGCCTGAATCGATTCGCAGTTCGACACAAACCGTTGATTCTAATAAGTAAGGTTCGGCATCAGAACGACGCTGGTTCATATTCTTTAGCCTGATGGGCACAACCCCCAGTCCATTTTAGGGGCTTTTTCACGTGTCAAGTGTGCTGGGATCCCATATCTGGAATTTCGGCCCTATCATGGGGGAATCTTTGCAACCTCGCCACGATCGTCAGTCTAGTTTGACATCGCAGACTCAACAGGATTTGCCTCTACCTGAGACTTGGCCTGTACCCAAACCGCCTACGTATGTTGTTAATAGCACCGCTCATTCTCCTTCCACTACATCTTCGAGGTCAAGTTCGATCACAACGACGACTTTGAGAACACCTGTCAGAATGGCGCCATCTGGCGCAATCCCTTCCAAGATCGATATGGATAACGAGGATCGTAGCAAGCGGGCTACCAGCGTACTCTCAATGGATGATATTGAGGCTGCACAGGCGTTGGAAGGCCTGCGATCAGGTTGGTTTTGCATGATCAATTTGTATATATATTTGGAAAGCCGACATTCTGACGCGTTTTTTGGTTGGATTTTTGATTAGATTTTGGTAATTCCCCTGGGTCATCTCGCAGTGGCAACCCATCATCTCCTCCCGCAGGGTCTTCGTCTTGCCAACAGCAACCCCCTGAGCCATTGCTGTCCCTTCTCACCTCATCTCATCCTCTGCTATCCTCTGCCATCAACGGCTCCGTTTCCGTTTATACCTCTTCTAAATCTTACTCTCCAAGGTTCAAATATGGTGCTGAATTTCTGGAGCGAAATATCGGCTCTCCAGTGGCTAAGAAAGTGGGCTCCGTCGGGAAAAAGACCGGCGTAGAAGGGGGAATCCGTTGGGCGCTCCAGAGACGTCGAACGGACGACAGGACGATCGACTCAGAGACTCCGGACAAACGTCGGAAAATTAGCAACACAAACGTTGATATGATTGACGTTGAAAAAGGGATGGCTGAATTAAACCCTTCCCAGACGAGGAGACCATCCGTTGCTGACTCTCTCCCGCCATATGATACTTTTTCATCGCCCAATTATGAAGAGTCGGTTGAATTAGACAGGAAATTGGGAAATAACCAATCGTCTACATGGCAAAGCCGATTGGTAATCTCCACCTCCGGCCTTGGCGTGGCGATGAGCGAAGAGTCTCTCCGCAGCTTGACCTATTGTCTAAGCTGGCTCCGCTGGGCAAACGGTCGACTAGGCAATTCAATCGTGTCCTTGAAAAGGGTTCTGGAAGAATACGATGCTTCCAAGAAGGAGCAGTTGTCGTCAATCGACGGAGTCATCAATGCGGAGATGAAGTCCCGAAACTCTACTCGCCTTTCAGAACAGGTCCAACAGGTTAAAGGAGATATATTATGTACACTCAAACAGGTCATAGACGTCGTCTCCAAATATGCCGGCGGTGCACTGCCGGAAAACGCCCGACATCTCGTACGAAGGCATCTCACATCGCTACCCCAGCGGTTTCGCGTAGCATCCACTATAACCCTGCGGGCAGACGGCTTCAGTGCTGAGGGAGACATGACCACCAGCGCACAGCGTGTCCTTGTCCTAGCTGAAGAAGGATTGGACATGATGGCTCAAGTCAGCGGCGTGGTCAACAATACACTGGTCAGCGCTGAGAGCTGGTGTGAGAAGTTACGGAGGGGTCCTAAGCCTTCTAGAAACCAACTGGCATCGTCGGATCAACGACCAATGATGGAATTCGATAGAAAACCACCTGTATCTGGTTCTGAGACGCCGACAGATGTTGAAATGACGGGGGCCACGGAGAAATCATAATATTTTTTTTTTCCTTTTTTTTTATTTTGGTTGCAGCCAATACTGGGACACGCAATGACCGTTCCAACCAAACCCCCTATCAACAACTTGACCAATTTGGAAATTAGTTTGTAATTTTCATGATTTCCATACGTCATCCTTGTGAATTACTTTCGCCTACAATTTTTGCTATTTCCAACCTATTTGGATGGTCCGATATCTCGACCGACTTGAGTTCACGGTGATTTCTTTGAGAGAAGCAGTGATTTCTGTGTGTTTTGCGACGAATTATTCTAGCTCAAACACTATTTTTACTTGACATTCTTCCTTGCGTTTTTGGCTCAGCGCTATCTTTTCCTCCTACCTCTATTATATTTACCCATCTTTCCTCTTTGCCATTTCATATCTGATGTTCTCATATCTTGGATAATTCGGTATCTCAGTTCGGCAGTTTCTATATGACTTTTTTGCAGTGATCCACTGAACCTTTGAGGACAAAACACACTCGTTTGAATTTGAATCATTTTGCTTTTCTTACCACCACTTGCCATATACTGTTGTCTTTTCGTTTTGCCCTGACGCCTAACTTCTTTTCTTTTTGCTTAAACAGGTTCTTGTTACCAGTTCTAGCAATACTCTCGTCTATTCCCTGAGGGTGTCATTCTTTTGATACCCTGTCCACTTATCACACTACCTCTTTTTAAACTACAACCTCTGCGTGTAAAACCTTTTCTCATCTCGTCCTTTTGGATTTCCTTGGTTGATTGATGGAAAAGAAGGATAAAAGAAAAATTGAAAAAATTTCACATTTCAAGGTTTTGAAAATATGTGAAAGTACTTACTAACTACCCAACCTATTATCTTCGATTTATATGATTTTCACTGACAGCTTCATTGGAGATCTTGTCGCTTCGAGCTGCTCTCGGGGGTCCTTCGATGATCATTCAGCTACTCATTTGTGTCTAATCTAATTGAATATGAGTCGAATCATGTCAATGCTTTATGTGATCTTTGTGCCTGTGCCCAACTTTGCCAATAGCTAGACGTTCTGTCCTTGGGAAAGGCAAATTCACATGCGAGCGAGAAAGTCACTATATTCAGATTGATAGAATCAAAACAATCTAAATCAATGTAGCGATGCCCAGGTCGCCACTTTTTTTTATAGCCTCGAGTTTCCCTTTGTTGTGCGTTTCCTCATCAAGTTCAAGTGAATGCGGTAGGGTAAGATCTCATGAGACGATCGGAAATGCTAGGTCAAAGATAACAGTCTGGAAAAAATAATTAGTCCTTAGCATAAAGCTGCTTTAAATATTATACCATATGTGAAATCCTTTTTTAGCTGCATTAAACAGCTATATTTTCTCAGTTGTCCTGTGTTCAGAAACTTAAATTCTTTGATATTTATGTCGAAACGTCAGTTACTTTGTCTGACATGTCAACTTTCAAAGACAGGATAATGTCTGTCCTCTGTCTTTAGATATGATGTAGAAAAGAAGTGACATATTACTCAATATCTTGAAAAGATAGACTACAATATTTTACTCTCGAAAGTGGGTTTCAAGATTCCTCTCAATTCACTTGTCTGTCAACATGGATTAAGTCAGTCATCATTACTCCTCAGTGTGCAACACATCTCACAAATAATGATAATGAAGAAAAGTAATTTACTTTCTACTTTTCCTCCTTCTAGATTTTATGCAACTTCTCCCATCTTCAATTCTGGGTTTTCAAAAATATTCATGCATCATCAGAACAAAACTACAGCATTTAAACCACTGAAACGGAGCACAGATTCTTTGATCCTTTCAACACCATATTCTCTTCGATAATGAAAATCAGTCTTCATCCTTCTCAAGCACCAGAACTGCTTTTATCTGTCAATCAGTCAATATCAGATACAAGCGACCACAGGGTAACCCAAACCGCCCTTCCATCGTCTATTCTCCTTGCAAATCTGATCCCGGCAATCCTCCTCCTAATATACGCCCTCCACATCCTCCATCGGATCCTGCAATTTTGGAATATTATCGCAATCAAACGGCCATTCGGAAAACTAGGCTCAAAGCTCTTGAATATAAAGGGGGCATGGACAGGACGAAGCCGGAGGAAAGACGGATATGTTCATATCAACACTCACTGTAGCCCTGACGGTGGTCGCGACAGGGGCGAATGCAGTGACGGAAGTTATGAGGAGATTGAACTGGGAGGCGAGCAGATGGACGGCCCGGGGAATGGAAATGGCATGGACATTTTAACCTCAGACCCAGCCACTACTTCTGATCTTCTTTCGGCCCACGAATGTGAATATTCTGCCACACAGTATACACACCTAGATTCCCCGAACGACCCACGACGAGAAACCTCCCCATATGGTCAGGCGCCTTTTCCCAAAGAGCAGCAAATGGACGAATTCGACATTTCTAAATATATCGATTCGGAGAAGTTGATGTTTCGAGATGGCGTGCTCGCGGTGCGTAGTATTGGGAGTGAGAGGGGTTGTGTTGAAGAGGGTGAAAATGGGGAAGAGGAGGATGGAAGTTTAAGTTTGAGGGTGCATAGGACTGTTGATTGGGCGGTTGACAAGGCCATCTGTTGGCTGGAAGGGTGACTCTGGTAAGAGCTTGATTAAGTATTCCAATGTGCCATGGAAATGAGGGTAGGGGCAATACATAAGGAGTATGTTTTGGCTTCACTCTCTATTCACTCAGGTAGAAAAACAAATTGAAAAAAGTGAGAAATGTGAAAAGGCCTTTTATTCCCTGTTAAATTGTACGAGTGCAATGAGAGAAAACGTACTTCTCCCAAGAACCCCCTAATTATAAATTCCGCCGCCTATCTTATTTCGATAGCCTCGAGCTGGAAATAAAACAACTTAAGGCGATCAATTCCCATTCTCAAAGAGGCACGGGGGGGCAAAACAATACAAACGATACTTCCTACGTTGCAATTTTCTTTCTCTTTTTTCCTTTTTTTATATATATAAAAAATTAACAGAAAAGAATAGAAACCAGAAACCGGAAACTGAACATGGCCATAGCCATGATCAGGGCAAGGTGTATCCACCATCAACAATGATATCAGCTCCAGTTGTGTAGCTAGAGGCATCGGAGGCAAGATACAGATATGTACCAGCAAGCTCATGAGGCTCCCCCTCGCGACCCATGGGAATCTTGTTTCTCCAGATATCCTTAGTGGAAGAAGGGATGAAATTGGAGATTTCCGTAGCCATGTAACCGGGAGAGATGGAATTGGCACGGGCAAATTGCACCCATTCGACAGCGAGGGATTTGCCTAGAAAAGAACAGGGAAAAAGGTGAAGGATGCGGTTAGATATGTAGTTTCTTCTAAAACAATCCACAGGTGCACATGAACAGGACAGGAGGGGATGTATATGTAGGAAAACTTACAAAGGTGAATAACAGCCGCCTTTGCCGCATTATACGCTGCCTGCAACTGAGGGAAATTGACAATATGTCCACTCATGGACGCGGTGGCGATGAAACTTCCATACGAGAAATTCTCCAATTTCTTGCCATTGATGTCGGTACCCTCTTCCTTTTGACGCTTCCAGTGCACAGCCGCGGCGCGGGCGCTGTAGAACACTCCGTCGATATCTGTCGTGACTACTTTACGGTAGTGGTCCAGATGACCCTCTGTCATGGGGCCTTGGGTCCAGGGGATACCAGAGTTGGCAACGAAAATATCGAGACGTCCGTTAAATTCTTTGACAATGCCGTCCACGGCGTCAGAGACAACCTGTGGGTCCGTGACATTGACTTGATAAGCTCTGCCTGCGGAGGAGCCAGTTAGTTTTTCACGAAGATTTTACGTTTTCCGTTGGTACAAGGAGCTCAATTGAGCAGAATGAGGTGGAGGAAGCGTGATAGCAAATAAATACAGGTAGGTGCAGATACGTAATACCCACATTTAACGCCGTACTTCTTCTCGATCTCCGCTGCCCGCTCAATGGCCGCTTTGTTGCGGTTGAACCAGATGGCGACGTTGGCACCGGCTTCTGCCAAAGCATGGGCGACCGCCAGACCGATACCTGCACCTGCACCGGTCACGATGGCTGTTTTCCCTTTTAATGAGAAGAGCGCTAGAATGCCCGAGCTGGCGGAAGGCGGGGAAGTGTTATCGATGCGGAACTTGCCGTCGACAATTGGGCCGGACATATTCGAGGATATACGAAGCAGGAGTTGGGTATTAGGGTGCTAAATGGGGTGTAAAGCTAGTAATACTCCTTTTTTTTTTTTTTATTCCGTTGGCGGGGTATTTGTGATGGCTGTAGAAGCGGAAACGATGGGTGGAGATGGAAGGGCAACGAACCCGAGGTGCAGTTGTCTTCGTGGAGAGAACAGGAGGGGAGAGCAGTGATGTAAGAGCGGAAGGGAATGAAGAATGGGGATATCGGAATGGATAGTGGAAGGGAAAGGAGAACGGGGATATCGGAATAGATACTTGGGAACAGCTTAACTCTAAAATAAACTCTCAATGGGTGGTTGCGGCTCGACGCCGTAGAGTTTAACTTCTCGTCGGCTGCGGCCCCAACCCCAGAGAACGCGCCTCCAACAACTGCTCCAACAATGCCCATTGATGCATGATCTTTAGGCTCTTGAACTCCTCATCCCTCACCATGTCCCGTTCAATCACGAGAAGAGGCGCAAAAATCTGCTACAATGTCCATGACGTCATAATCGGACGCTTCTAGTGGAGCGTCAGAAGAAGGGAACATGCATTTTTATCATATTTTCCCGGCGATGGGCAATGTATAACCATACATCCCGGGGTGCTGATTCTTAATGCGTTAAATCGCAGCCACAGTGCCCTATATTTAATGAGCAACTACTTACTTATCGCGAAACTTTCCTCTACGTATAAATCTCTACTCTGCTGTCCAACGTTCCCAACTCGCCCGAGCTGTGCTGATTGGATGATCCCGTAATCAGATGATGATGATGATGATAATAATAATAATAACTAACCACAACCCTAGTTAATCTAGATTTTGAATGAAAAAATATAATTGGACCTTTCAAACAAGATCTTTAAAAGCCATCGAAAAGATTTCCCAGGTTGGGGTGATGGGGTTACACGTCCACTTTGCTGTGCGCAAACACCGGGATGTCTGACAAACTCTGTGGAGAGAGCATTTTAATTTTATGGATCTGATCGCCCCATGACTAGAGAAAAGAGAGAAAAGAGGAGGTATAATGTACATGTAGTTGTCCCGCCATGGAGGCCCTGTTTCAATCGGCATGTGGATAAAAATTGGGGTCTTAGGGCTGATTCCGCGAAACCCTTAACTGTAACTCTGTCACGGATTGGCAGGAAATTGCGATTAGATCAAAGAGGGAATTTATCCAGCGAAGACTACGGAGTATGGAAGACCCCCAAATCAGAAGAATTCAGATCATGAAGCAAAGTGGGCAGTAATAGACGAGACGACTGACGAAACACAAGTGTGGCTTCAGTGAAGTGTTAAGACTTAAACTAACAGTTACATGGCAAAAAGGCTAACTAATCGCCAGGAGTCGAATTATGCTGGAAGGACGAGAACAATCCCGTAGGGGAATCCCCTGGTCCCTAACAGTGAGGTGCTGCTGGAGCCTAGGGCTTCCTATTACGAACTGGCGCCCCAGTAGAGAGCTGCCAATAACAACCAACTCAGACGTCCAACAGCTACGGACACCCCCCCCCCCCCCCCCTTCATGGGGGCAAAAGGGAAGCCGCGGGGGGCCCCCCACAAAATGGCACGGGCGAAATCTGCTACCCCTGGTTAGTTACCTGATTAGGGGAAGGTGGATTATAACCGTAAAAATCAAAGTAAAATACGCGAATGCCCATCCGTCGATGTATTGTCAATTCGACTTATCCTGGATTGCAAAACACCATGTAATTTCTGCCAATCCTAACTTCTCTGAGAGGCTTCATTTATAGTGGACTCAATGTGAAGAAGCTCTTGTCCCATCCTTCTTAACAAGTTACTAACGCTTTTGAAAAAATATGATAATGAGTCTTAATATAATGCAAAAGTCTGATTAAGAACTTTTCTTTTATAATAAGATCAATAATACTTTATTATTTATTTGCATATCTTAAATTTTTTATTTTAATAAATCTATATTAAATAGAATATACTTAAATAGATTAGTTGATATAAAGTTTTATTAACTATAATATATTAAGCTTTAATATTTAATTTAATAGTAAAATTTTAATATTATAAAAACTATAATATTAAAAAGTATTAATTAATATAATATAATTTAAATTTAATTTATATCAAGTTTTTATTTTAATTTAATATAAATTATAATTATTAATAAATTATATTTAATTTTTAAATTTTTTATTATAAATAAAAATTAAATATATTTTATAAAAGTTCTATTATATATATAAAATATATATTTTTTATATAATTATAATAATATTTGATACTTAATTATTATAGTTTTAATATAAATTAATAAAATTTAATTAAATAATAATTAAAAATTATATTAAATATTATTTAAAACTTAGATTTTTATATATTTATTTAAATTTATATAAAAATTTTTAATTTATATTATTAAATAATTTTTTAATTAAAAATTTAATTTAAAACTTTTAATTTTAAATTAATTAATTTAATAAGTTAATTTAATATTAAAAAATAATTAAAATAAATATTTTTAAATTTTATTTTTTTATCTACTGAGTCTGTTGAAGAGCTCATTATTTTACTCTCTGTGTCTTTATTCATAGAGACTAGAACTTATATATAAGTACTGCAAAATTATAGCAATTTCAATATATTTAGAAATATAAAAATAAGATACTATAATTCTAGTCTCATTTATTTCAATTTAATTAATGATTATAAGTATAAATATTTAGAGTTAAAATCTATATTATATATTTTTTTTATTTTTTATTTCAAAGACTTACTTGATGAGATGTTTTACTTAGTAGAAAATTATATTAGTTATTATGAAATTTGATTATAGATAATTAATAAATAATGAAGAAATAAATAGAAAAATAATATGAATAATGAAAATTTATCTTAATATTAATATTAGTTCTTTTCTTTTTCAATCTTATTTCAACAAAAATCACTGTATATCTGTAATATATTATCTTCTATTAACATGATCAATTACTAAATGAGTTAGAAATTTAAAAATACTGTATTGTATTAAAATTTAAATATTCTTACAATCATAAATTATTTAATTAATTAAATTAAAGATATTAATAAAAGAATTTTATAATTAAATATATTTTTAATAATTTAAATAAATAGATATATTGATGATTTACAAATTTAATTACTTTAAAAAATATATGATGAAGGTAGTAGATCAATTTGAGAAGTAGAAGAATTTGATAGTATGATGAAATTAGAATTATAAAACTTTGAGACACTAAAACTGGTTTTATTTTTTGAATAAAAAGATTATATAGAGTTAAAAAAATCAGAAATTAGCATATTAGACTGCTTTTGCTGATACTTTACAGTAGATATAGCAGTGCTACTCAATCTACATTTTTTTCATACAAGTATGAGCATATTCTTTTTTTTTTTGCTAGAAGCTGCAGCTTTTTTACTACTCTAGC